TTTTCTTGCCATTGTTTAATCAATTACTTTGAAAAAAAAACAATTGTATACTTTGAACAATGGCAAGAAAAGTTCGCGCGAATTTTTCTTGTTATTGTTTAATCGATTGCTTTAAAAAAAAACAATGGTATGCTTCGAACAATAGCAAAAAAAGTTTGAGCGAATTTTTCTTGCCATTATTTAATCAATTGCTTTAAATAAACATTGTGACACGCTGCCCATAGGATATTAAAATAAAATATCGTATGTTGCTACCAACGTGTTGAGTTCGAATAATATCTATGCTTGGTTTAAAATAAATATTATTCGAACTCAACACGTCGGTGGCAACATACAATATTTTATTTTAATATCCTATAGGCGGCGTGTCACATTTTTGGTGCATGCTCACGAGAAAATAAAAGATTGTTGTCTTCATACAAGATCTAAATGAGAAATAAAAGAAAAGTATATAAAAAAAAAAAATGAAATGAAAGAAAAATTTGTGAAATATGAGAAAAGGAAGGATGATATGAGAAATCATCAAAGAAATATGAGAAAAGGAAGGATGATATGAGAAATCATCAAAGAAATATGAGAAAAGGAAGGATGATATGAGAAATCATCAAAGAAATGATAAGATAAGGAAGACTTATCTGAAATATGAGAAAAATATTACTATATATGAAAAAGGATATAGTAAAAGTAATATTATGAAAAAGGAATATTACGGAATATATGAGAAATGAAATATACGATATATTGAAAAAGTATATATCGAAAGGATAAATGAAATATTCAAAATAATAATAAAAAGATTTAAAAAAATTGAATGAAAATAAAAATTTATAAGGAGTTAATATAAGAAAAAGATTAAAAGTTATTAAAAAATTTAATTTTGTGTATAGAACTGGGAGAACCCCAGTATAAATAAGAGCACACTGGAAGGACCCAGTATAAATAAGCCTTTGTTGGTGATCATATTAGTCTGACGCTGGGTGGCCCCAGTTATAAATAATCCCTAACCTTGATCACAGTTTATTTGCGCAAGATATAGAAAGTTTATAAATAAAATCACGATTATAGATTATAAATTATATTATAGAATGTATAAAGAAATTATAGAATCAAAGCTGGAACTTTGAAAATATTAGAATTTAAATTATATGATATTTTAAAGAGTAAAGAATTTAGTGAAGTATTGAGAATGATTAATGGAACAATAGGAATGAATGATCGATAGGAAAATATGAAAATATCAAATTAAAAATATATATATAGCTGCCCTTGGGCAGGGGCGACTGATTAATGAAATAATAAATAAATAAGAAATAATAAATTATGAAATTAAAGGTTAAAATACCGAAAGAAGAATTAAGAAAAGTTGAAGAAAAACTAAATGATGGTATTGAAATAGAATTCTATGATGAAAATAATATGAGATTAAAGAATTGGGTTATAACATGTGAAATAATTACAGAGAAATTATTTAATGAAGAGAAAATTGAACTTGATGAAGTAATAATAAAAGAAAGTGATGATAGTTCAGAGAATAGAAGTGTTAATGATGATTCAGAATTTAATACAGAAAAAGATGAGAATGACGAAAATAATGATAACGACAATATAGTAATAAATGAAAATAATGAAAATAATGAAATAAATGATGAAATACAAAAGAATGAGACTGATAATAATGAAGAAAATGAAGAAATAGTTAAATCAGAAAATTATCAAATCTTAATAAATAGATTAAAACATAAAAGAGAAGATATTGATGAAGAAATGTTAGAAAAGGGAAATGAAGGATTATCATTATTACAATTATGTCATAAAATAAGAAGGAATAATCTGATGTTATTGGAAATACATTATTATTTAGGAAAAAGGTTTGAAGAGAGATTAGAACGAGAAATTAATAAACGGAAAAGGAAAAGTAGAAAAAGGAAAACAGATAAAGAGGAACGAGAAAAGATATATAAGGAAATGATAGAAACAGGTGTAAAGAGAACAAAGAAGGGATTAAAAAGAATGATGGAAAAAGCAGAAAAAGTTTGTTTATTAGTTGACAAGATAGAGAAGAAAAGAGTATTTGAAAGTAGTTGTGATATTACATCAGTAGATAACTGTACTAAGAAAGAAATAGTGGAGATAACAGAATATTTCACCAGTGTATAAAAAATGGAAGAATAAGAAGTTAAAATATAGAGATGAAATTTGAGAATTTCAAATGAAGTGAAATTATAAGAAATATGAAAAGATGTATAATAAATAAAAGAATTAATAAATAAAGGAAAATAAAATGTTTAATTAAAATTATAAAAAGAGCAAAACTTGTACCGTAAAAAGAACGTAAAGTATATATATATTTTAAGAAGTAATACAAAAGATTAAAATAGAAATACCAATATTTTATGGTGTAACAGGAGAAGATCTAAAAGAATAGACGAATCAAGTAGAAAAATATTTGTCAAAGATAGAAGATGATTTAAGATTGTGAAGACATATCTATTAAGAAATGCGTTACTATGGTTTAAAAATAAAGGAATGTGTATTGCAGATTAGAATAAGAATGAAATTAAGGAGTTAAGATTAAAATATAGAATAATTGAAAAATATTTGTTAATAAAAGAAGTTAAGGATGATGAAAATGAAATAAAAGAAACAGTAAGAAGAATACTAAATGAATCAGAAAAGGAAATAGTATAAAATATTTCTTGATGAAATAAAAGTTAAATTAGTTAAAGCAAAAATATTAATGATGGTAGCATTTGTAAAGCATTAATGATGTATAAATATATGGACAAAAAGTTAAAAATCAAGTTGGAAATTATTGAGAAAATAATTGGTCACTGAAAAGGAATTTTATTTTTGAGTTATAGATTTATGTTGAACAGAATCACGTTGTCACCTCCGTCTGCCACCCGGCGGTAAACAAAGTCCCCAGCTTCTGTTATATGTGCTCTCAGCGAAACATTAATATTCTTGCTTGGTTTAGTTTTATTACTACTTAACTTTCAAATAGCTCTCGCCACGGTATTTCATATTTTCTCTTCTTTCAAGTTTACGGTAGTTCTCTTTACAAAAGTTTATATTTTATTCATTTCATAATTCTTGTTATAACATTAAATTCACCATAAATTTATCCAATTAAAATTAATTAAGCGAACATTACAATAAAGTTTAGGGCGAACCTATTACCTTTAAAATAATATTACGCTCTACTAACAATTAATTAAACAAAATTACTTTTTCATCATAAGAAAATAGTAACAAAAACAATCGAAACAATTAATTTTCATATAAAGGGTATTTTATTTATTCTTCATAAAATTCACAATTAACTAATTTACTTAAAGTTTTACATCGTATCTGATGACTGTGGAATTCACCTCCCATTCCGCTCCTATTTAAACCAACTTTCTTATTCTTTCTTTTCTTACTTCTTATTTCTTTCTAATATTTTATGTTATGTGTTCCCTTTTATGCACTATCTTATAT